GATCTACTGCAATGGATTACCCACCTGAGGGGCCCCCGAAACCTGATTTTAGGGGCCCCCAGGGGGCCCATTTAGGGGCTTTTGGGGCCCCCAGGGTACCTAATTTTGGGGGCCCCCAGGGGGCCCCCTGGGGGCCCCTTTTGGGGGGCCCCTAGGGGGCCCCTTTCTTTGTGTGAGAGTTTTATTAGCGAAGTAGTCAAAGGCAATTCTTAGCTGCCGTCCACGTCTAGAGGCCAAGTTCGGGGGCCCCCGAACCAGCAGAACAGCAGCAGCAGCAGCAGCAGCAACAGCAGCAGCAGCAGCAGCAGCAGCAGCGAATGCAACAAAAGCTCAACTTATTGGTTGCTTGTGGCTGTGTCTAAAAACTGCAGCGACGCCAAACTCTAAGATTTAGTTGGGGCCTCCAAGTGGGGCCCCCCTGGGGGCCCCCACAAGGGGGCCCCCCTAAATCCTGAAGTTTAGTACCCTTTTTTAATGCTTATAACTTCTTGGGGGCCCACCTTGGGGGCCCCTCACCTGGGGGCCCCCCTAAGGGTAGGGGCCCCTCAGGACAGCTGAGGGGGGCCCCACAAAGGGTAGGGGGGACCCGACAGCTGAGGGGGGCCCCACAAAGGGTAGGGGGGACCCCCACACGCCTACTGGCATTGCCTGCAGCATCTGCTGCTGCTGCTGCTGCTGCTGCTGCTGCTGCTGCTGCTGCAGATTGCTGCTTACACACGTGTTTAGATACGGGCTGCTGCTGCTGCCGATGCTGCTGCTAAAGTTAACTGAAGATGCTTCGCTGTGTCTAAAGACACCAGAGTTATTGGTGGAGTAGCTGCGCCCGATCTGCGGTCTCTGTTGCTGCTGCTGCTGCTGCTGCTGCTGCTGCTGCTGCTGCTGCTGCTGCTGCTGTTTGGGGCCTGTGTCGACACACTGCCCAAAGAGGTCGCCAAGACGAATACGACGCCCAGCAAACAGCTTTTTCTCCGGCTGCTGCTTCTGTTGCTGCTGCTGCTGCTGCTGCTGCATGCTGCTGCTGCTGCTGCTGCTGACTTCTTTCTTCCGGACAACTCGCGGAGTACACAAGTAGGATGGGACTCCGCCTTCCCCCAGCGCTTGCGAAGGGCTGTGTTGCAGCAGCAGCAGCAGCAGCACTCTGCGTTTGCCCCTCAGCCAGCAGCGAAGCATTATAAGGTGCTTCGTAATCTAGAGGAGGCAGCAGCAAAGGAGGGACTTTGCTGGGGCCCCCAAACCTCCGGGGGGGCCCCCCTGGGGCAGCTAAAAAGTTAAAACCCTCTCCAAAGTTGGGGGGCCCCCCAAGATCGGGGGCCCCCATGGCATTGGGGGCCCCCACGAAGTTCGGGGCCCCCATGGGGTTGGGGGCCCCCTGCAGCAGACTTTGGCGGAGGGAAGCATATTGCATGCAGGGGGTGCTGAGCGAAGCAGCAAAAGCGTTGCCGCTGCTGCTGCTGCTGCTGCTGCTGCTGCTGCTGCTGTACAGATTACCACCTAGGGAGGCCCCCTGAGGCCCCCCTAAAGGGGCAACCCCTGGAGGGCCCCCCAGGGGGGCCCCGAGGGGGGCCCCTAGGGGGGCCCCTAGGGGGCCCCCTAAGGGGGCCCCTAGGGGGGCCCCTGAGGGGGCCCCTAGGGGGCCCCCTAGGGGGGCCCCTAGGGGGGCCCCTGAGGGGGCCCCTGAGGGGGCCCGCAGCAGTGGTCCAGGTTGGGGACCAGTGGTCAAGCTGGCAGAAGTTGCTGAAGCTGGGGGCCCCCTGGGGGACAGCAAAGGCACAAGAGGTACTGAGGAGAGGTGGGAGCCCCTTGCTGGCAGATGCACAGCAGCAGCCAGCTGCTGCTGCTGCTGCTGCTGCTGCTGCTGCTGCTGCTGCTGCTGCTGCTGCTGCTGCTGCTGCGGGTGCTTGTATGGAAGCTGCCTGAAGTGGGGGTCGTAGAGTAGCTGCTGCTGGGAAGCAGATAAACAGTCCATCAGCTGCTGCCGTGGCGAGAGCGGCAAGGTCTGCGGTTTGTGGCTCGCTGGCTGGAGCATCTGCTGCTGCAGCTGTTGCTGCAGCTGTTGCTGCAGCTGTTGCTGCAGCTGTTGCTGCATCATCAGGTGTTGTTGCAGCTGCTGCTGCAGCAGCGCCTGCTGCTGCTGCTGCTGCTGCGGCCCCGGGTGAGCCTGCAGGTCTTGATGGCTGCTGCAGCTAATATCTGAAAGTGTTAGTGGAAGTGGAGGCAAAGACTGTCTTTGGAGGTGCAGCAAAGGCCTCGCGTGTGCGTTATTCCTTCCTGCTGCAGCAGCAGCAGCAACAGCAGCAGCAGCAGCACAAGGCCGCCCCACAGTCAACTCAGGTGGATGTACACTTGGGCAGCCCCTGAGACTCGCTGGCTGCTTCCAGCCCCCTCTCTTTTGCCGCACTGGCTCTGCGCAGTCGCCCCCTAAGTGCTGCTGCTGCTGCTGCTGCTGCTGCCGCTGCTGCTGCTGCTGCTGCTGCTGCTGCTGCTGCTGGGCGTGCGGGGCCCCCAGCGTCTTTGAAACGTCGTCTTTCTCTGCTGCATCACACGGCTGGCTCCAAGGGCCTTGAAAGCCCTTCGCTGCTGCTGCTGCTGCTGCTGCTGAGGCTAGTGCTTGCGGTGCTGCTGCTGCTGCTGCCGGCGCTGCAGCAGCTGCTGCTGCCGCGGGGCTTAGCAGCAGCAGGCTTTTCTCGTGGGTCTTGTCTCTTTGTTTGTCTCTTTGTTTGTCTCTTTGTTTGTCTCTTTGTTTGTCTCTTTCTTTATCTCTGCTGCGGGTCCTGCTGCTGCTGACATTTATATTGTTGTTAATTGTATTTATATTAGTGTTGGGCTGGCCGCTGCTGCTGCTGCTGCTGCTGCTGCCGGTCCTCTTTTCCCTGTACTCAAAGGTGGTCCTGTATTCCCTGCTGTTGCTGGGGCTCCTGCTGCTGCCGCTGCTGCTGCTGCTGCTGCTGCTGCTGCGGTCCGAGGCGAGCTGCCAGGAGCTGCTGCTGCGGCCCTGCTGAGCAGCAGCAGCAGCAGTTCTTGCTGCTGCCTGCAGCGCCTTTGCTGCGCTGCTGCACGTACACCAGGCGCTGCCTTCTCTTTCTTGTCTCTTCAAACAAGAGCCAACATGAATTATCATTTCTTTTTCTTTTTCTTTTTCTTTTTCTTTTTCTTTTCTTTCTTGCAAATTTCTCCCTCTCTGCTCTTCTGCTTCTCCGTCGCGGCCTCTGCTTCTGCTGCTGCTCCTCGTGTCTTGCTGCTTGCTGTCCTTCTGTTTCTGCTGCTGCGCTCTCTGTGCTGCTGCTGCATGTGCAGCAGCAGCAGCAGCAGCAGCTCTCGCGGCTGCACTCTGCACGCTTTCTCTTTCTTTCGCTGCTGCTGCTTTTCTTCGCGCGGCTGCTGCTGCTGCTGCTGCTGGGCCTGCTGCTGCTGCTGCTGGAGCTGCTGCTGCTGCTGGGGCTGCTGCTGCTGCTGCTGCTGGGACAGCCAAGTTGAAATCTGCTCCCGCTGCACCTCCCCTAGTTTTGGACAAAGAAATAACAGCAACAGAAGCGCTGCGTCTGCCGCCCCTTTGCTGTTCTGGCTTGCCAGCAGCAGCAGCAGGTGCAGCAGCAGCAGCAGGTGCAGCAGCAGCAGCGGGTGCAGCAGCAGCAGCGGGTGCAGCAGCAGCAGCAGGAGTCATCAAAGGGTGTCTCGAGACAGAAGAGCGGCTTGCGGTTCCGGGCGCTGGGGCTGTTGGTGCTGCTGCTGCTGCTGCTTCTGCTGCTGCAGCTGCTGCTGCTCTTTCGAGCCCCGTATCTTTGCCGCTGCTGCTGCTGACCATCTGGCGACGCGTCCGCTGCTCTGCCCGTGCCGGCGCTGCTGCTGCTGCTGCTGCTGCTGCTGCTGCTGCAGCCTCTGCTGCTGCTGCAGCCTGCACCTCCCCGTCGCCCCCCTCGCCCGTCTTGAGCGCCGCCTGCGGCGTTGCCCCCCCCTCCGCCTCCCCGCGCGCCCGCTGCTGCTGCTGCTGCTGCTGCTGCTGCTGCTGCTGCTGCTGCTGCTGGAAAGCCTCCCAGGCTGCGCTGATGAGCGAACCCCGCAGCCCCGCGCGCACGTCCGGCAAGCTGCTGAGCTGCTGCAGCATGTTTGGCAGCAAATGGAGTTCATCATCTCCGGGGTCTCCGCAAAAAGGCCGCAAGTAAAGTCCGTTTTCAACTTGCGCAGCAAAAGACACGGGGCTGTTGTCCAGCAGCACGCAGCGGCTCAGCTGCCGCCCCGCAGCAGCAGCGCCCGCCAGGTCCTTCACGTAGTAAAAATTCTCCCCCCACAGCCAGTCCCCCAGCGCCTCCCCCCCTGCTGCTGCTGCTGCTGCTGCTGCTGCTGCTGCTGCGGGGGGGGCAGGCGCGCCGGGGCCTGCGGCTCCGGCTGCTGCTGCTGCTGCTGCTGCTGCTGCTGCTGCTGCTGCTGCTGCGGCTGCTTCCCCCCCGTCAGCGCTGGCCCCGCCAGGCCCGCTGTCAAGCCCCGGGAGGCCCCCCGCGGCTACGGCCGCCGCTGCTGCTGCTGCTGCTGCTGCTGCTGCTGCTGCTGCGCCCTTGCTCCTGGGAGCCCGCGCGCAGTGCTGCCGGTAAAGCCTGTGGTCGAAAAGCTGCTGCTCTTCTTCCAAACAATCCAAAATTGGATCTGCATATTCTCGAAGTGCTGCTGTAAAAGCAATAAGTTCGAAGTTGCCGCTGCGGCGCAGCTCCAGCAGCATGCGGTGGACGAAGGGGCGGAAGTACACGTACAACACGGTGCAGCTGCTGCTGCTGCTGCTGCTGCTGCTGCTGCTGCTGCTGCTGCTGCTGCTGTCCGTGCTGCTGCTGCAGGAGCTCCTCGTCGACGTCGTCGCCGTGCCGCTTGCAGCAGCAGCGGGCTCGCGGGCCGCCGCCGACGTGGGGTCCGCTGCTGCTGCGGGCGCTGCTGCTGCTGCTGCTGCTGCTGCTGCTGCTGCTGCTGTGTTTGCTGCCAGCCTCGCGGCGCCCCCGAGGCCCGCCTCGCCGCCGCAGCAGCTGCTGCCGTCTTCGTTCCCCTTGCTGCTGCTGCTGCCGCTGCTGCCGCTGCTGCTGCTGCTGCTGCTGAGGCCGAACTGATCTACAAAAGTAAAAGTCCTGTCTGGCTGCAGCCCCGGCAGCAGCACAGGAGTAACAAATACAATTGTTTCATCAATGTCTACAAAGACTGTCAGTTTTGCTGCTGGGCTAAACGGCAAACAAAGCGGCTCCCCCGGCTCGTACCTGAATGCCACACACAAACGCACACAAACACTGCCCCGCTTTGCTGCTGCTGCTGCTGCTGCTGCTGCTGCTGCTGCTGCTGCTGGTAGCAGCAGCCTGCTGCTGCTGCTGCTGCTACAGCTATTTGCTGCCCATGGGAACGCAAATTAGGCAGCAGAAAATCTGAGTTGCAAGCCAACAGCGGCAGTGGCAGCAGGGGAATTTGCTGCTGCTGCTGCTGCTGCAGCAGGAGCAGCAACGCAGCAGGTCGCCAGCCGCGTCTCTGCATTAAGTGTCCCCACTAGCTCCCCCATGCATGCCTGCTCATGCCACAGCAGCAGCAGCAGCAGCAGCTGCTGCTGCTGCTGCTGCTGCTGCTGCTGCTGCAGGGGGCTGCAAATGCATGCACTTGCCTGCCAGCCTCTCGGTGCTTCTTGACTTCGTCAATTGCCCGAAGGCCCTCAAGAAAGTCTTCAGGCAAACATGACAGCTCCAGGGGGGCAGCCGAAGAGCTGGGGGCCGCTCCCATCTGCGGCTGCTGCAGCAGCAGCTGCTGCTGCTGCTGCTGCTGCTGCTGCTGCTGCTGCTGCGGGTCCTGCTGTTCCTGCTGATCTGGACCCTGCTGCTGCTGATGAGGCGGACTACGTTGGTGTGGAAGCACCTGATGCTGCTGCTTCAGGCGCTGCTGTGGTTTCTGCTGCTGCTGCTGCTGCTGCGGCTGCAGCTGCGGCTGCTGCTGCTTGTGCTGCTGCTGCGGTTGCTTCTGCAGCTGCTGCTGCGGCTGCTGCTGCTGAAGCTGCTGCTGCTGCAGCGGTTGGTGTTGCGACTGCTGCCTTTGCTGGCTTGGCTGCCTAGAACGAGCCTGCACTTGCTGTTTTTGCTGCTGCGGCTGCTGCTGCTGCTGCTGCTGCTGCTTTCTGTGCTCTTGCTGCTGACGGTGGCGGGGGGGGTGCCGCTGGCTGTGCTTGAGTTTGGCCTGAGTGTCTGTCTTTAGCTGCTGCCTGCACCCGCCAGAAAGCTGCAAAGGAAGAGACCGGGGGGCCCCTTCGGCTGCCAAAGCTTCCTCTGGGGGCCCCCCTCCTGCAGCAATGTCAGCAACAGCCAGCAGGGTCATGCCGAAGAACGACAGGTGCAGCGCAGCAGCAGCAGCAGCAGCAGCAGCAGCAGCAGCGGGTGCAGCAGCACCCACCACAGACTGGCGAATCTGGGGGGAAAAGGCCTAATCGGCAGCCAGCAGCTGCCGCGGGGTGAACCTGCTGAGGATCTGAAAGGCGCTGCGGATGAGAAGCAAGAATTCAACGAGAAGCTGAAGTATGAGCTGCTCAAGTTTGGCTATTTGAATCAAAGAAAGTGGAAAAGAAGAAGGCGAAAAAAGCACTTCTGAAACCGAGAAGCTGCAGCGCGCAGCTCCTGCTTTCCCTTTGGAATTCGTGTTGTTCGGGCGCCGCGATCAGCCCGTTAAAAACGCCCAACACCGACTCAAATAGAGCTAATTGTGCTTTGGTGGGACTGCTGCAACAAATAAAGGAGTCAGGGAAAAGAAACTAATGAGGATGGAAGAAGAATCGACGCGACGGGGCTGTTACGGAACAGACAGAGTCGAGCCGACGCGCTGCGGTGACACCTCGCCATGCTTGCTCGCAAGCGGAAAGGGAATTTAAGCCAATTAAAGCTCTCAAAGCAAAGAAAATATTTACTTGTAAGAATCCTATTTAGCGCAGATCGGGGAGAAGCACCTGCAAGAAGCCGACTTCCTCATTCTCGGCTGCCGTGGCTAGCTGGCCAATGGCAGCTCCTCGCGAAGCTCCGCACGAAATACCTCTTCTTGTAGAGCCCATTAAGCTGAATAAAAGCCTCTTTTTAAAATTAAACTCTAATTTACCCTGTGCGAAGACGCAATAGTCCGCGGGCGTCACTCGACAGCCACCTAGAGCCGACTCGACTCGGCGCAGGCTTTGCAGCTCCGATCTTCCACTCAGAAACACTCCATTCCCTCTGTCGCTTCGCCTTTCTTGTTTAATTCATTATTTATATATTAAAATAAATATTGAGAACCAGTTAACTTTCCAGCTCATGCATGTTGCCGCCGCCGATGGGAGCTGTGAGCTGTGCTGGCCCCTGACACTTGCGTGTTCCCGTACCAGTACTTTCCCAAGAGGGGCCCGTGTCTTTGTTTCACAGCTGATTGTACAAGTCCAATTTGGTCTTTTAAAGCATCCTGAGAGGTAAGTATCTCAAAAACTACCCTTTTTTATCTCCATTAAGAGTTACACAGGTGTTCTTGTTTCTGAAATCCCTTTGCAAGTTGCTTGGGTCTCGGGAACACCCGCGCAATCAGAAAATCTAAAGCCACAGTTGTGCACATTTGCAGATAACAAAAGGAACAAAAAATAATCCTAATAAGTCGAAAAGAGCAAAAAAAAACAGAAATGTGGCTTTCCTTTCAAGTATTCATCAACTGGAGTCGCAGAAACAAAAAAAGAAAGAAAAGTTCATCTTTATATCTCATTATTTGCAAAAGATCTGCTGCAAAATGGCCTACAGAAGCAGAATTGGCCAAGTTTGAGCCGTGGAAACTTCAGTGTACTTCATGTTTCGGACTTGTGCAAATTCGCGTCTTGTGCATTTAAGAAGAATAAAATGGTAATTTCGAAATATAAATGCAGCAATTTGTTCACTGCTGCAGTCATAAGCAGCTAAAGGACTGCGAGATTTTGCAAATAAAAAATAAAAGTTATTTTCCTAAGTAAGAAACTCCAGCAGGTCTTGTGGGCCGCTGCAGCCAAAAGAAGCAAAAGTGGTGAAGCAAATGCTTTGGAGTTTATTTGAATGGTTAGTTGGTTGTCTTTAAACATTTCTTTTTAGTTTTAGTTTCTTAAACATTCAACTTTGTAGTTTGTTGTCTTTAAACATTTCTTTCCACTTTTAGTTTCTTAAACACTTAACTTGTTAGTTTGTTGTCTTTAAACATTTCTTTCCACTTTTAGTTTCTTAAACAGCAGTGAATGAGCCTTCGGACTCAGTCGAATTTCCGAGTTCAACTTCTTTCAACTTCTTCTGCAAGTCTTCTCCCCATTTAAACTCGCCACTCAGTTTCCCAGAGCCTACACTTTTTGCTAACAGAAAAATATCAAACAATTTAAAAAATTTAAACAATTTAAACACTTTAAACAATTCAAATACTTTGAACAATTTAAACAATTTAAACACTTTAAACACTTTAAACACTTTAAACATAAATTTGTGAAATTTGGTAAATTTGTTAAATTTGTGAAATTTGTTAAATTTGACTTTAAACCATTTAAACAATTTAAACACTTTAAACAATTTAAACACTTTAAACCATTTAAACAATTTAAACACTTTAAACAATTTAAACACTTTAAACAATTTAAACACTTTAAACCATTTAAACGGTTTAAACACTTTAAACAATTTAAACAATTTAAACAATTTAAACACTTTAAGCACTTTAAACGATTTAAACACTTTAAACAATTTAAACAATTTAAACAATTAAAACAATTTAAATTTAATAGTGCTGCAAGTAAAGTCACTGCAAGCCGCAGTGCAGCCACAGAATAAGTGAAAGACTTTAACTTTATTCTTAAAGAGATGCACAAATGCCCAAAGTTATTTGACTTTGACTTTAAGGCTGCAGCTCTATGAGATAATAAATCAACTTGAATATTAAAAGCTTTTGCAAAAGGCTGTGGGCGAATAAAAAGTGGCAAAAGAAAAGATAAAATGAAAACTATTAATTAAAAAGTGGCAAAAGAAAAGATAAAATAAAAACTGTTAATTAAAAAGTGGCAAAAAAACCAAAATAAAAAAGCAATAATTGAAAAGAGGCAAAAGAAAAGACAAAATAAAAAACCATTAATTAAAATGCGGCGGAAGAAAAGATAAAATAAAAAACTATTGATTAAAAAGTGGCAAAAGAAAACATAAAATAAAAAAGCAATAACTGAAAAGAGGCAAAAGAAAAGAGAAAATGAAAAACCATTAATTAAAATGCGGCGAAAGAAAAGATAAAATAAAAAACTATTAATTAAAAAGTGGCAAAAGAAAAGATAAAATAAAAAACAACTATTTGGAAGTGAAGATTGTGCAATTTGAATATTTAAAAGCGGCTAAAGAATGTCCTAAATGGCATATTACAAAACAAAACTCTTGCCATTAGCATCTTTGCTTCTCCACAAAGAATAAAGTTATTTGCATTTCCTGGAAATGAAAATTTAAAAGAAAAGTTGTTTGCATTTTCCGAAAATGAAAAGTTCAAATAATATAAATATAGATTGAAAGAGAAGCGCCCAACAAAAGGCGTCGCTGCTGCACCTTTTGGGTGTTTTTTGTTTTCTTTTTGGGCCCTTTAAAGATACAATTTTGAGTTTTATTTTAATTACTTTGAAGTGTTATTTGTTTTCTTTTTGGATCCTTTTGAAGGTGCAATTTTCATTTTAATTCCATTTTGTTTTATTTATTTTTGCTGCGAGTTGTCAAAACTAGTTGGGGGCCACCGCGGGGACTCTGCGAAAAAAATACTTCGCCAAAAGTTGGCCTTTAATGCAACAAATGAGGGACTTTAGTTTGGAGAAATATATTTAAAGAACAAAAGAACAACAGCAAAACGAGGGCACAGAGAGCGGCCAAAAGGGCCGCCAGTTGAAGTTCGAAAACGCGGAAATAAAAACAAATGAACGAAATATTCAATAGGAGTCCATGTGCACCATACTGCGTTCAGGTGTATGTACAGGGGTCCTTGAATTCGTTTTTTATTTTTTTTTCCCATTTTTTTTTTCCCTTTTAATTCCTTTCATTGCAAAAGACTTTCCACTCTTCAAAACCCGCACTCTGCAGCTCCAGAGGCCCACTTCAGAGGGCCTCCGTCTCAGAGTTTAACTCGCAAAAGACTCTGGAGTTCAGTTCTTAAGACTCCGTTTTAAAAACTTCAATTTATTGCCAAGTCCCCCGTGGCCCAGGGCTGCAGAGCCCCTCGTGGGGGGCTTTATTAGCCAATTAAAGTATGTTTGGCCGCGTGGCTTTCTGCTGCAGCAGATTTGCCTGAGAGGCAGTGCTGCTGCAGCAAGCCCGCTGCTGCAGATTCGTCCAATTTGTGGTCTTTTGGGTTTAAATTTGGGTTTAAATTAATAAATAATTTAAATATTTTCTTTTTATTTGCAAATTGCTGCAGCTTTTGGCGCACTTGGGGGGCCCAGCCAGCCGTGGGGCCCCAGCACAAGACCCCAGCTGCTGCAGGGTGGTGGTGGTGGTAGTTTGTATGCGCGTTCGCTGGCTGGCTCGGCCTCGGCAGTTCCTCTGGAGTTAATAAATTGAAAACATGAATTGTTTAACTTCGAAAAAATAAGGAAATTAATCAATGCATCCATTAACTGCGCTTTCCCACACACAACCACCCCGCCTAGCCAGGGGCTGTTGCTGTCTCAACTTTCCGCCGGGGCCGAAGGCCTTCTCTCTGCCGGCTATTTGCGGCGACCAAGACAAAAGTAGAATAATTAAAATGAATTAATTATTAATTGGGGATAAATAAAGGAGATAAGCCGCAGACGCAGCCCTCCGCAGGGCGAAGCCAACATGTGACACCTCAACACCCAGGTGAACATACACCTCAATTTTTTCCGCCGGCTTTCCGAAGTTTTTTCAAAAGTGAATCAAATAAATAAAAAACAAAACTTGGCGCTGCTGGAATGGCCTCAAAGGGACTCCGGGGGGGGCCATTACACGCGGCTGTGAGGCCAGAAGCTTGGGAACTAACTGGCAAACGGCAGCGGGAAACCAGCTATAGACTTCCAGATCTGCTTCTGTTTATTTAATTATTCTTTTTGTTTTATTTTGCTGCTTCTGCATTTGACTTTTTTCCGCTGCATGCACTCATTTGCTTCCTCCTGGCTCCCTCTTCTCGGGGTGTATGGACACCTCCCCCTTCTCGGGGTGTATGGACACCTCACCAGCCATGTCGCGCGCCAGCTGGCTGAAGGATTGGCTTCCTCGGCTGCTGCTGAATCCATTTCGCTCTTCTCTTTCAAAGAAAAGAAAAGCTGAAGACAGCAGCAGCAGCAGCAGCAGCAGCAGCAGCAGCAGCAGCAGCAGCAACGATGCGGCTCATCCGTTCAAGAAGCTGCGGCAGCAAATTCCATCGAGAGCAAACGACAGACCTGCAGCCACACCGAGTTCGCTTTCTGCTGCTCACAGCTCGCAGCAGCAGCAGCAGCAGCAGCAGCAGCAGCAGCGGAGTGGAGTCTACGCGGCTCGTTCGTTAAGGGCTCATCAATTGACTCCTCTTGTTCACAAGGTGAGAAGGCCCTTCTCCTGACTTGCCTGCATTTGTATTTGCTGCTGCTGCTGCTGCTGCTGCTGCTGCTGCTGCTGCTGCTTATTATTCTTTGGGTGTTTGTGACTTTGCTGCATCTCAGTGCCGAGACGCGGAGATAAACAAAATTGAAAAAGTCAAAACTAAGCAAGCAGCAAGCCGCGGGGTGTACAGACAGCTGCATTCCAAGACACAAGGCCTGCAGCAGCAGCAGCAGCAGCAGCAGCAGCAGCAGCGGCTAGTGCCTCCGCTGTCGCTGCAGCAGCTGCAGCAGAATCCGCAGCACCCTCGACCTTTCCCCAGCTTGCTGCCTGCTGCTGCTGCTGCTGCTGCTGCTGTGGAGAAGCCGCAAACGAGTGTTTTCCTCTGCAAAGGTCCAGCAGCAACTGCAAACACTGCAGCAGCAGCAGCAGCAGCAGCAGCAGCAGCAGCAGCAGCAAGCGGCTTGTCCAGCAACTCTGTCGCCGCACTGCGGGGCAACCGCCTGCACCCTCTGCCCGCAACTGCTGCTGCTACTACTACTACTACTGCTGCTGCTGCTGCTGCTGCTGCTGCTGCTGCTGCTGCTCGGTCTACCTCGTCGCTGCCGCTGCTGCCGCGCCTCTTTGCTGCTTCTCCTTTGAGGAGCCGCAGCACTTCGGCGTTGCCTCTGTTGGCTCCAGCAGCAAACAGGCCCCCGGCTCTACTCCCCCAGCAGCAGCAGCAGCAGCAACTGCAGCAGCAGCAGCAGCTACAGCAGCAGCAGCAGCAGCAGCAGCAGCTGTTTCTTGGGCGGCAGCAAGGGCAAGCAGCAAAGCTGCGGAACAGCAGCCGAACTGAGGCGGAGAATGCACAGCGACCTCCGAGGCCTCTCGAGTGCAGCAGCAAAAGCTTCAGCATCAGCAGCAGCTGCAGCAGCAGCAGCAGCAGCAGCAGCAGCAGCAGCAGCAGCGGCCTGTCCTTCAAGCTCAGCGCAGCAAGCTCCAGTGTTTACTTCGCAGCAAAAGCAGCCACAGGGGCCCCCGCAGCCTCCAGTGGGGGCCCCACAGGGGGCCCCCTAGAGGGTATTTCGGGGGCCCCACTAAAGGGTACAGCTGGAGGGGCCCTGGGGGGCCCCCCGGGGGCCCCCAAGAGGCCCCAGCCTGCTGCTGCTTTGGGGGCCCCTGGGGGGGCCCCCCTGGGAGCTGCTTTGGGGGCCCCCTTGAGTGCTGAGGGCCCTTTAGAAGCTCTTGATTTGTTTCGATCTCCAGTAGGCTGCGGGGGGCCCCCCGGCGCGGCGGAGGGCGAGGCCGAGACCCCTGCTGCTGCTGAGAGTTGGGGTTTGGGGCTTTGCACTTCTTCTAAAAGCTGCGGAAATGAAGCAGCTGCCTGCGCCAGCTCTGCGAGACTGCTGCTGCTGCGTGGCACCAGAAACGCGGGGCTGCTGCTGCCGCTGCTGCTGCTGCTGCTGTTAATGCTGCTGCTGCTGCTGTTGGTGCTGCTGCTGCTGCCTCGCTTTAAGGGAAATGAAGTCAAATACGTAGTGCTGCTGCACTCACAGCACTGCAGTAAAGGTGCTGTGAGGCAGATAGAAAGAGCAGCAGCAGCAGTAGAGCAACAGCAGCGGCTGCGAAAACAGCAGCAGCAGCAACAGCAGCAGCAGCAGCAGCAGCAGCAGGGATGGCAGCACTTGGGACGCATGTGGAAGCAGCTCTGTGCGTGTTGCTTCTCCGCAAAGAGTGGCTCAATTATCTTCTGCTTTCTTCCAAGTGCGCATTTGCTGCTGCTGCTGCTGCTTGCTGCTGCTGTTGTGTCTGCTGCAGCTGCGACGCAGAAACGCTGCAGCTGCTGCTGAGAGACAGCGAGCTGATTTTTTACACCCGCGGAAACTACCACCCCAAGATTGCGCTGAAGCACCTGCAGCAGCAGCAGCAGCAGCAGCAGCAGCAGCAGCAGCAGCAGCAGCAGCAGCAGCAGCAGCAGGTTGCGCTGTCTCACCGGCAGCAGCAGCAGCTGCCCGGCGCGCGCCCCGCGTGGGCTGCCTGTGCTGCGCTGCTGGCCACGCTGCAGCAGCAAAAAGATGTGGATCCTTTTTCAGTGTTTGGAGAAGCTCCTCCGCAGCTGCTGCTGCACGAGGTGTACGGACAGCAGCACTACAACGCTGTGGGGCCCCACACCCTCAGCACCCACCCAGTGGTGTCGAAGCTGATGAAGCAAAACATCATCCCCCCCCCCAGCAGCAGCAGCAGCAGCAGCAGCAGCAGCAGCAGCAGCAGCGGCGGCGGGGCGCGCATCTCGGCTGCTGTGTGGGAGTCCGTGCTGCTGCCGGCGCTGCAGCAGCACTGGGCAGCAGAAGCTGCTGTGGAACTCGACTGGAGGGGAGACCCGCTGACTGCAGCAGACTGCTGCTGGTACTTGCAAGCAATAGCAGCAGCAAGAGACATAAGTGATGAAGTGACGAACAAGCAGTGTTGCTTTTGCCCCACGCCGCCTCCCCACGCGGCCTGGGGGTGGACAGACACCCGGCGGATCTTGCGGCAGCGCGTCGACGCTGCTGCTGCTGCTGCTGCTGCTGCTGCTGCTGCTGCTGCAGCAGCGGGGGGCGGGAGGCGCGCGCTGCTGTTTTGCCTCTCGCCTTCTCCTATTAAACAAGGAAAGAGACAAACAAACAAAAGGCCGAAGATTAAAGACAGCCACAGCAGCCAGAAGGCGAAGCCGCCGCCTGCTGCAGCAGCTGCTGCTGTTGCTGCTGCTGCTGCTGCTGCTGCTGCTGCCGTGTCTCCAGTCACGCCCGGGCTGCGGCAGAAGCGGCAGCGCATGGCCAGGGCAGCGGGAAGCGAGAGCAGCGAGGCAGCAGCAAAACACTCAAGAAGCAAATTGAGTAGAGGCGCTGCTGCTTTCTGCTGCCGCCAAGACAAAGCCCAGCAGCAGCAAGTGACTGCAGCAGCAGCAGCAGCAGCAGCGCCAGCCCTTGCTGCTGCTGGCAGGGGAGGTCCCGCGGCCGCAGCAGGCCCCGTACCAACAGCAGCAGCAGCAGCAGCAGCAGCAGCAGCAGCAGCAGCAGCAGCAAGTGATGCCTCCTCTTTCAGGGGAGAGTGGAGCCGCGCGCTGTCTGCGGTGCAGTGCAAATTAGATGAATTGAAAACAAAAACAAAATCCAAAGAAAGAAAGAAAGCAGCAATAGGCGCGGCCCCACACCCATGCAAGGCCCTTACTAGCATCGCATCGTGCAGCAGCAGCAGCAGCAGCAGCAGCAGCAGCAGCAGCAGCAGCAGCAGTAGCCTTAGGTACGCCTGCAGCACCTCCACCACCACCAGCACCAACAGCATCGGCGGCAACAGCAGCAGCAGCATCAGCAGCAGCAACATCGCCAGCGGCAGCAGCAACGTCAGCAGCAGCGAAATTGGCAGCAGCAGCAGCAGCAGCAGCAGCCTAAGGTATGTCCCGTCAAACCTCTTTGAATCTGTGGGAGCTCTTGGCAGTAACGGGGGGCCCCCCAGCCTCACGCCCCCAGCCATGGGGCTGGGGGCCCCCGCGGGGGCCCCTGTGGGGTCTTTTCCGAAGGGGGCCCCCATCGGGGGCCCCTCCAAGGGGGCCCCCAAGCTGCTGAATAGGATATACTACAGCAGCAGCAGTTTGCCCCTCCTTGGCCGCCATGTCAAGTCCCCTACTGAAGCAGTACCCTCTTTTGGGGGCTGCCCTCCCACGGGGCCCCCGGGGGCCCCACAGGGGGCCCCCTTCAGTGGGCTCTCCCGAGGGGGCCCCCCCTGTAGTGATGGCGCCCCAGTGGCTTTTTATGGGGGGGCCCCCCAGGGGCCCCCGGGGCCCCAGGGGCCCCCGGGGCCCTCGAGACCCCTGGGGCCCCCGGGGCCCTTGGGGCCCCCGGGGGCCCCCTGGGAGCTGCGGGGGGTTTCGGGGGCCCCCCTGCGGACGGGCGGGTAGAGTAGAGAGCCAGTGGAAATATGAATTATGTTTTTGATGCTTCAGTTTTTCTGTTTTATTTCTTTTCCGTTTTATTTCGTTTGGCAGCCTTTTCGAAGTCTATACTGCGCGAGGTAGAGAGAGGCAGGGGCAGGTAACAGCTCCAGCAGCAGCAGCAGCAGCAGCAGCAGCAGCAGCAGCAGCAGCACAAGCAGCAGCAGCAGCTCAGTGCAAAGGAAAAGAAAAAGCAAACATCATGAATTGAATAATCAACTTAGGGGTCTGAGCGACGGCTCCGAAGAGTGCGCCAAAGTCCGACGCGAAAAATCGTTTAAAGAATTGGCAATGAAAACAAGAAAAACAGAAGAGAAAATACAAACCCCTCTTTATCAATCTGCTGCTGCTTGTGCTGCTGCTGCTGCTGCTGCTGCTGCTGCTTGTGCTGCTGCTGCTGCTGCTAAACTCACCAAAAATCAAGCCTACAGAACCCCCCAACTGCAAACACAAAAACTAACCCGAGGGGCCCTCAGGGCTCCTTGGGGGCCCCCAAGTGCTTGGCGGGGGCGCAGACTCAGGGGCCCCGGGGGGCCCCCCAAAAAGTCATTTCTGGGGCTCCCCAATGCCATTTGGGGCCCCACGGGGGCCCCGACGGGGGCCCCTCAAAAGAGCCTCGGTGGGGGCCCTTAAAAGCCACTGGAAGGCCCTTCAGGGAGCCTTCGAAGGGGCCCCAAGGGGCCCACTACATGGTGCAAGGGGGGCCCTTTGTGCACTGCGGGGGCCCCCACAGGAGCTCTTATGCACCCTTCTAGGGCCCCTCTTCAGGGCCAACTCAGTGGTGGGCACTAGTACCCAAGGGGCCCCCTAATAAGGTCCTAATGGGGGCCCTAACATTCGCAGGGCCCCTTCACAGTCTTTCGGGGCTCATTGAATTAACTGGAGGCCCCTCTGGGGCCCCTCTTGGGGCCCCTCTTGGGGCCCCATCAGGGCCCTCAACAGAAATTCACGGGGGCCCCCCAAGGGGGCCCCTTGGGGGCCCCAAGGAGGGACTGGGGGCAATCTCTAAGGGCTCATTAAGGAGCCCCTCCGCATGCATTTAAGTTTTGTGTCTTTTAATTTGGCGCCACAAATACTTGAAGGTCTCGTAAGAACCTGCAAAAGAAATGAAGCCGAAGACGCCGCTGCGGGCTTGTGAACTTTGGAAGCGAACAGAATAAAATGAAAGAATGGAATTTAATGTCAAAAACAAATAATAAATTCAAATAAATATGTACATATAACACAGCATGTACGAATTATAACAAGTGGTGGCCGCCAAACAACAAGCAGGCAAGCAGCAAACAGCAGCAGCAGCAGCAGCAGATTGAAATAAATGCAAAACTTAACTTTTAAATGAACAAAAAAGATAAAAACTCACCCCAGCAAATAGCGGAAGACGGAACATTGAGACAAACGCGGCCGCTGACGCCCTGAACAGCCCACCGGAGCAGCAGCAAAAGGAAAGAAACCTGCAGCAGCAGCTGCAGCAGCTGCAGCAGCTGCTGCAGCAGCTGCAGCAGTGGCTGTTTTGCGTCCTTGAAAACATAATGAAAGTGCAAAACCATATAAATGGAATACTCTGGATGGCGCATCTGACGACAGAGGCAAAAGGACAGCTGCAATTCAAGAGAAGTCGAGTGGGGGAACAAGCAAAGGCAAAGGAAACAAAGAATAGAATTAAATATTTAGTAACTTGCTAATTATTTAAAATAATTAATTAGGGACTAGTCAGTTTTGTCGGCCTCCGTACGCGCCAAAAGCCCAGAATTCCCTCCTCAGACCAAATGGTGCGCATGGTCCCCAACAAGGACTGCAGCACAGTCAAGCCACAGCAGTAGCAGCAGCAGTTGCAGCAGCAGCAGCAGCACTCGCAGCAGCAGCAGTCGCAGCAGCAACAGTTTCAGCAGCAGCAGCAGCTGCTGCAACAGCAGCTGCAAAGGGAGCAGCATCCAACGGCCACGCAATGAACGGCGAGAAGGCAGCAGGCGAACAACAGCTCGAAAACTGGTAATAAGAACCAAAAACTGGTACTAAAAGCCAAAAACAATTTTGAAATTGACAAAATAATGAAAATTAAAAACAATTAATAAACTTTCTTGACTCACTTGGTACTTGGGCGTGCACGGAGCGAAGGGGCAGCCACCAGGCCTTGTGACGCCCGATAAGCCAGACACCTGCTGAGAAGCGGAAACAGGAGATTCTTTGGCATGCATTCATTGTTATATCATAAAAATAAATACTATTTAATTAATTTGGTTGTTTGTTTTCAATTTACTCATTTATTTGGCATTTAAATGTGTAGTTTGAGCTGCTACTTTGAGCCTCACGTTCCTGACGGCGCAGTCTTGAGTCTGCAGTCTCGTCTTCACCACATCGAGGGGATTCGATATAAAACCAGCAACGCCACCGCTTATGCCTGCAGCAGCAGCAACAGCAGCAGCAGCAGCAGCAAGAGCTGCAGCAAGAGTCTGTGAAGTGGCTGTTTCAGATATTCGCCGTTTGAGAGGGCTAAAGAGTGCCCAATTGCTCTAAGTTGCATCTGTGTGGAAGAAGATTTCCTTCAAGACGCACCCGCACACAGGAAGTAAATGGGCAAGCTGAGCTCTTCAGGCCTGCTGCTGCTGCTGCCCGCTGCGCTGCTGCTTTCTGCTGCTGCTCCCCCCGGGGCGCTGCGGCGCTTCCAGTTGGCGGCTCTTTTCTTCAGCTGTTCGTTGGTGCAAATCAGCACAGCCCCAAACGGCAAATTCAAAACGAAAGAAACCGGCAAAGACCGCACGAAGGCCAGGGGGCCCTCGACGCGCAAAGTGCTTTCGATGCACTGGCCCACTGACCTGAGTTCGACACACAAACGAACAAAAAACGAAGACAGAACATCAAAAACAATCCAAAATTCCAAAAATTAAGAACGAGACACAACAATTGACTGCGGAAAGCTAAAATATGAACGTAAAAAACTTGAATTCAAAAAGCGGCAGCCAGAAAAACAGAAAGCGCAGGCTAAACAGCAAAAGGGAAAGGCTCAACACAAAATAGACACAAAAGAATATCCGAAATGAAAAATGAAAAGAGGGAATTGAATGAATTGGCGAGTTGATCTAGGCAAGAGGCAAACACGAACTTGAAAAAGAAATGCAGAAGTAGCTGCTGAGGAGCAAGTCGCTACAAGCCCGACTAATAACAATTATTGTTAGTTTTTAATTATTAAGAAACAAATAAAAAGAAACAAAGAAAGTAAAACAAACTCAGACGCACTTAAAACAACCCAGCTGCATGCGCTGCTTGAGCACGTCCACAGGAGTCAAGATCAGGTCGTGGCTAAGGGTGGCGCCAACGCCGCAGAGCAGCAGCTGCAGCCCCGAGAGACCCTCTGCTGCTGCTGCTGCTGCTGCTGCTGCTGCTGGTGCTGCTGCTGCTCTATCTTGGTGCTGCAGCGCTTCTCGTTTGCCCAGGCACACGGGGCACAGGCAGAGCGGGGAGCCGCCGCCCGCAGGCGCGGCGCAGCAGCCAGCACCTGCTGCTGCTGCTGCTGCTGCTGCGCCTTCTTGCTGCTGCTGCCGCCGCAGCTGCTGCTTCTGATAGGCCTTCTCCTTCATTTTCCGCTTCGTGAGCTCGTAAGAAGTGAAGTAACAGGCGTGGGCCGGCACACACCCCAGCACCACAGCCCCAGCGCCTCTGTACAAACTCCTAAGCCCGCCCTCAGCATAAACTGATCTTAGGCAAGAAATGAGGCCCCAGGCCCCGCCCCCAGCGCGGGGGTTGGGGGCCCCCCCGTGGGGGCCCCTGCCCGGGAGGGTACTGCTTGGGGGGCCCCCAGCTGCAGCAGCAGCCCCGCTCAGGGGGGCCCCTGACGCTAGTCGCAGTCCTGCTGCTGCTGCTGCTGCAGCGCCCGGAACACTCGGGCCGCACCGCCACGCCCCGCTGAGCCCGCCCCTGGCTGCTGCTGCTGCTGCTGCTGCTGCTTGCTTCTGCTGCTGCAGCAGCAGCATGCCGGGGCTCCGCATATACCCCAGCGGAAGCCTTAGTGGCGACGCCTGAGTCACTGCTGGCACTGAGCAGGGGCCCCCGAAGAGGGCCCCCCCAGAGGCCCCCACAGGGGCCCCCGAGAGGGCCCCCAGGGGGGCCCCCCAGGGGCCCCTCGCTGCGCGCGCTGCTGCGCCGGCTGAATGCATTGTTGGGTATATAAACTTGTGCTGCGCGGCTGTTGAGATATTCGGCAGCGCAGCAGCAGAGTGGATCTGAGAGGAGTGCAGGAGAGAATGAGAAAGCGACAGCCGCGAGGGCGGCTGCGCTGCTGCTGCTGCTGCCTTTTGTATGGCTCTGCTGCTGCTGCTGCTGCTGCTGCTGCTGCTGCTGCTGCAGCTGTCTGTACACCGCGGAGAGGCGAAGGGGGCCTGGCAGCTGGGGCTCGGGGGCGCCCGCCTGTGGTGGCAGTGGGGCGCCTCTGCTGCTGCTGCTGCTGCTGCTGCAGCAGGGGCGTCTGCTGCTGCTGCTGCTGCGCCTCTGTAGGCCTGCATGCGAGTCTTCACTGTGTCTATGGGGTACATAGCCACGTGCTCCATCACCCCTGCGCAGCTGCCAGCAGAGGCGTGCAGCAGCAGCGGCCAGTCGCCCCGCCATTCTTCCCACTCGAGGCTTTCGTACGAAAAGGCTGCTGCTGCTGCTGCAGGGCAGCAGCAGCAGCAGCTCAACGCCGAGCGCCCGCAAGAGCAGGGGCCCTCGTAGGAGGGCGGGGCGCTGGGGGCCCCCGCAGATACGGGCCCTGGGGGGCCCCCCTGGGGGCCCCCGGGGCTCCCGGGGGGAACTAAAGCGCTCTGGGGCAGGGGCTCGGAAGCCTGGCGAGGGGCCCCCGGGACTGGGGAAGAGGGGCCCCCCGAACCCTTGTGGGAAAGCCCCAGCGGCTGGGGGGGCCCCGGGGCCTCCGGGGGGGGCCCTGCAGAGCTGGTGAGTGGAGGCGATGCAGAATTGAAGAGGGAAAAGAAAGAAAGGCCTGCGGGGTCTCGAGAGGGGCTGTGGAGGGCCGAGGGACTCATTTGATGAAGTAGAAGTGGAATACCAATGAATTAGAGTTTATATATAAACCCAAATGCGGAAATGTGGGAGATGGCACAGATGGCTCTGTGTTAGCCTTGCTAGTTGAGCACACTGACTAAGCGCGAAGGCCTGAATAGGGCTGTTGGGTTCATCTCGGAAAAAAGAGAATAAATGAGGAGAAAACGAAAGGGGCGCAAAGAATGAGACGCAAAGACAGCCGCAGAAGCAGCAACAACAGGAAAGAGGAACAAATACGAACAACAACCGCGGCCCGAAGTGCGCTAGCCAGGCTGGCTCTGTCTGCGTTTACGTAAAGAAACTAAAAAGTAATTTCTATCCATTACTCTTTACTAGTCGCTATGGCGGCAAACGCGGGAAGAGCAGCAGCTCAAACGCCCACGGTGAGAAACCTGAATGTGTACATAATTATCGACTGAGACCCTCATACCCGGCACAGGCCCAACCCAACTTCTCAGGTGTACGTACACCTCGGCAAAAAACCAAAATTCCACTCACAATTCACACCCTCGCAAAAACAAATTTCAGCAGCAGCAACCACGTTCAGCAGCGCCAGCCCCAGACCACGCGCACTGAATGCAGGGTCAGGATCGGCGTACGGGTGTTCTTTTGACGAAAAATCGACTCATCTAATCGTTTACATGCATGAAATATGGCGAAGTTTTTGTATTCATGAAAGAATCACTGAAGATCGAATTACTCACTTTGGTTGCAAGCATCCCTTCCGCGCCAGCTGCGGCGCCCCACACTCCGAGTTTTGTTGCAACACTTTTTGCCAGAGAGTTAATTCATTTTAATTAAGTAAAAGGTGGGAAATAAAAACGTCAGTCATTAGGAAACAACGAAGGAGCCAAAAGGGGTTGGCTGCGCAGGGGTGGAGGCGCACCCCTACACGGCGACTTCAGGTGTTATATCGGCACTCAAAAAACTACGAATTTTTCGCTTTTTAGCACTCAAAAGAAGAATTAGACCAGCTTAACCATTTATATAGGGGAGAATGAGTAGATAATTCGATTTGCTATCATTCAAGTGTATTTATTGCATTGCTCTCGAGGTCCCTGTGGTGTTAACTTGTTCTGCAACCCTCACTGGGGCCAGCAAGCCGAAAATCCAAAACTCTGAGCAGCAGAGCAATGGTTAAAGCAGGCATCAAATAAAATTCTAATTTTTTGTTCAAAATATAGCAGCAGGGAGTTAAAATGGACTCTCTGGCCCTCACTGGACCGGCAAGGGAACCTGTGCGTCATTGCACTATTCAAGAAGACCACCACCACCTCCTTAGACCAAACGACCCCTAAACGCAAGTCATTCTTAACCCTAACAATTCATAGCACTAAATCTTGTTGTACCCTTCGATTAAAGCCTGGGTGTGCAAGGAACCGCCATAAAGGGTGCTGGGGCTCCCGGTAGACAGCATCAGGGTTGAAGGTTTTGAGTTTTCTTCCGTAAAGTTTCAGGGTTATGAGGTTAATGAACCTTCAAGCTGCTTCATCAGGGCTAAACTGCCAAAACACCCGTTGTGGGCGGGGGCTATTAAACATGTGTAGTGACTGTTCCGGTGCAGCACGGGTTTGCAGCCAACTGAGCCAAGCAAATGAAACAGAAAAAACTCTAATGTTGCGAGTTTGCTGCCATGGACAGGGTTGGGGCAACAGCAGCCAACGTAAGTGAAGAAAAGAAACCCCAGACCCCTAGCAGGAGCTCCAAAATGAGCTGAAATAGAACTAGTTTCCGCCACTAACAGCCCCTCCCGAAGCGCATGGGGAAGCCAGAAGAACAGCAGAAAGAGTCTGCTCTCTTTATTTAATATAATAGCTGCAAGAAGCGAATGTAGGAAGTACTTTGTGGGATCAGCTGTGTGGTATGCTGAGGGCGGTGGGCAACGCTGCTGAAATCTATTTGTTGCCTTTTCCCTTTAAAATTAAAAACATAATATCCTAGATAGCGAGTCCTTATTTGAATGCATTGTTGCATAGGAAGGGCTCATGGTCCTTTAGAGTAGCGCCGTTCAGCGCCGCGTGGCTTTCGGCTGAGCACCGGGGTGTTTTCATTTGAGTTTTCACAACTTATAGTATTTATAAATGGCAAAAGTGAACAATTTTAAAATAAGGGCAGAAAATATGTACAGTGGAAGATGCATTTTCGAGCCCTAAGCTCGGAAACCTCGTTCGTACTTCACGTTTCTCTCTGTTTCATTCCCGTTGCGTTTTCTTGCCACTGCTGTTCCGTCCAACAGATAATGGTTATAAACATCGAAAAATGAACAAGGAGAAGAGCGAAAAAAAAACGAAAAGAAGTCAAACGGACGCAGGCAGGCTCTACACAGCGCTTTTCGCTTGTGCGTTTCGTCTGAACTGGACTAAAGTCTAGCAAAGAACAAGTTAATACAAAAAAATAGACGAATACTTGAGTGGTAAATAAACATTTAGCGTCTCTTCCAGTTGATGGTTCTGTTGTCTTGTCGCTGTGTCGCCTCTCCGTTGCCCTGTTGTGAAACGCAGCCAAACAAAAGAAAATAAAATGAGACAAGGCTGATAATAAACGCCACTGCGATTCAGTAGTAACTGGAGCAATGAATGCAATCAAAGAAGCAAACCGGCCTATACCAGTGATTCTTGATTCAATGAAATATTCAATTAGGCAAAGGTTGTTTCTGAGGAAGCACACCTTGAGCAAGCATACAGGGCAGCCAAGCTGCAAAATGTATATATTCTGCATCCAAGTGATAAGTGTTTGACTGCGGGACCCAACTGCATAATTACCAAGAACTAAAAGAATTAATTCGTTGGGGGCCTCAGTGTGTGGATGAATCGAAATAAACCACCAGTGTCAGTCAATCAAAAATGCTGAAATGACGCACCCAATTTCCTGTTTCTTTTTCGCCTTGATAGGCAGCGAAAAAATGCATTTGGCGAGTTGAATAAACATTTGGCCAGAAAATCAGCAAAACAAGTAACATATTGTGCGCTGCCACCATTCAAATAGCTCATAAAGCTAATCAACTTACTCTGCATATCACTCCTCTCTCGAACGTCATCTGGCTCTCTCCAACTCCAAATTCTAAATCGTCACCTTGTCTTTGCCTTTTAGTCCAAGCAAACCCACTGGAAGTGCCGCCCACATTTAGGGGGCCCCCCACTGGGGGACCTCCATTTGAGGGGGCCCCAACTGGGGGCCCCCCACCCCCTGAGTTGAACCCAAGAGGCAAGGCAGGACGGAAGGGGCTGGGCCTTTTGGAAGGGCGTTGAAATCCCCCCTGGAGGCCTGGTTGCGAGGGCCCTAGGGAGCCCCCTTGGGGGCCCCCTAGGGGCCCCCCTTGGGTTTGCTCTATGGAGTCGATTTGTGTGGCGTCGCTTTGCTGTGTGGGCACATCTGGTGGCAGATGAGAGTGCACTGGAGGCTGTAATGAAGCTTGAGAGCGGATGCCTCTTCTTTCGGACTGAGACGCAAACACTTCAAACCCTAAACCCTAAACCCTAAACCCTCGGCAGCGGAGAGAACCTCCGTGTATGCGTTTTTCAAGCAGGGAAAGAGAAATCGGGAGAATGCAACCAAAAAAAAGAAAAGGCATAAACGTGAAGACAGAGAGAAACAAAAAACGTACTAGCTGCGAGAGGAGTGACCGAATATCTCTTTGCTTTGAACTTTGAGTTGACGGAGTTTCTCGAATATCTCTTTGCTTTGAACTTTGAGTTGACGGAGTTTCTTCTACGCAAGTGGCCCCCCTTCCTTTCCTCGAGCGGGCAGCTACACTCTGTAACGCAGCAGCAGCAGCAGCAACAGTAACCACAGCAGCAGCAGCAGCAGCAGCAGCGACAGAAACCGCAGCTGCATCAGCGGCAGCGCAAAGACAAAACGGCTGAGGCGCCTGCGGCCCAGTGGAGCTAGAAGATCGGTTTCCTCGGCTTAGAATTTAGGGTTTAGGGTTTGGGGTTTAGGGTTTGTTAGCCTACCTCTTCCTTAGCCTCATCGCTATCACTGACAACTGTCTCTGCTACATTTCTTCGGCTCTGGGCTCCTCTCCCGCGGCGCCCTCGGCCTCTCGTTGCTGAAGTTTCTCCCGCTGCTGCTGCTGCTGCTGCTGCTGCTCCTGCTTTGTCCTGAGCCCCTCTTTTGGGCCTCCTAGCAGACCCCCTAGAAGGAGCCCTCGCCATGTCTGCAGTCTCTGTCTCTTTTTCGCCGCTCAGGTCGACCACCGGAAGCTCTTGCAAGAATTCGTCGGCCTGAGTTGCTGCTGCTGCTGCTGCTGCTTCTGCTGCTGGTGGATCAGGTGCTGCAGCTGCTGCCGCTTGCGTCTGTTCCGGTGGCTGTCCTCCTTCCTGCAGCGGGCAGCAACAGTGAAACATGTGACTGCGCAGTTGCAGGAGGAATAAAAAACAGGCAAACGAAAAATCTATTCGAGAAAATCAGGAAACAGAGTTAATCCTAGACTGCGCGAGTCCTGAAAACACACCGTTTCGTTTAGTCTGCGCATGCGAGCAGCCTGGGTAAACTCCTGAAAAGAATTGCAGACCAAACAAAAACACATTAACTAATTGAAAAACAGATAAACCGTAAAGCAAACAGCTAGGTAAACATGCAACTAACCACCTAATCGCCGAGGCAAATGAACCTTCGCCGCAGCAGCAGCAGGTGCAGCCGCAGCCGCAGAAAAGGCAGCAACAGCAACAGCAGCACACTTACGGCGATAATGTTCCTGACAAGCTCTTTAGTCGGAGTTGTGTTTTTATTTTCCTTGAGTTGTTTCATCAGCTGCTCCCTTGCATGCACACGAGCAGCGGCAATGCTTCGGTTAACGAAGGAAGATATGGCTGAGGGGTCCTGGCACAGCACAAATTGCGAATATAAACGTAAATGAATATGCCAGTTCAATTGTGCATGCAAACATACGCATGCGCACATTTAGAAACAGCTCCTCCAAGCATTTTTGTGGTTTGCCTTGTTGGAAGCATGAGTATGCATGCAGTGTGCACGCGCGTGA